TTTTTCGACATTAATTCATCAATGAAGATTTTGAAAAAAAAACGTCATTTTAAAATTTTCAATTAGTTTAAGTAACCCTATGCTGATAAAAAAAATCATTGGTTTCAGCCAGATTTTTGAATTTTTTTTTTTCGAAATCTTCATATTACCATTGGAAATTTAGTTTTATTCAATACAAAAAATAATAATAGAAATAATGGAAAATGTTAAAATACTGCGTATTTTTAGCACCGAACGACTAAACGAAATTAGAAATATTAAAATGTTCGATGGTGCCTCGAGGCAATGAGAAGTACGCAATATGCAATGCGTACTTTGCATTTAAGCCTACGCGCAATTAATATTTTTTGTGGGGGGAGATATTCACAGATTTCCCGTTGAGAATCGACAATATTTTTCTGAAAACATTTTCATTTTAAATTCAAAAATGTTTTAATCGGCAAACTCAAACAGTATTTGATTTGCCACTCTGTTTCCCTACTGTTGGACGCGATTCGATACTTTTTGATATTCTGAACGACCTGCGGACAAGTTTCGAGGCCAATCAATCGCCACTTTTTTTATTATTATTTTGGACAATTTTTGGCAAGATTTCAATGGGCCGAATGCTTTTAACAGTTTCGATCATCATGCGAAATGAATATATTTCTTTTCTCCTCGAAATTCGTCCATTCTTCGTTCCAAGCTTATATATCGACACAGTCATTATTTTCGACGACCTTTCCCAAAGGTTTCCTCATTTTCTTCACTCCGACAACGTCCGCAGATAGAAAACAATATTTAAAAATAACTTCTTCGCCATTCGCAATTGCTTTAAGAGAAATCACCCAAACCTTTTTTATGTGCTGTTGAACGTTCTTATACATCATTAATTAGTTAATTATGTGTCCAATAGTGTGTGTGAAAGATTAATTTTTATAATTTCAACGTTCCTGCGAAAAAAAACAACCCATCGAAAAAAAAATATTCAAAAGAGAAGAGTGGTTTTTGAGGATTTTGCCGTGAAATTTTCGTCACGGTATTTTCAAGAAGTTTTGCGAGATAGCTCTCTGCTGAAAATTGGCAAAAAATGTTAATAAATAAAAATTAAAGACCAAAAATAGAAAAAAACATTTTCCAAAAATTATCTCTACTCCGCAAACACTGCCGTTTTGGTGGCAATTCAAATACCTTTCTCATTTCATGAAAATCCTCGAGTTTGGGTTCAATCTTCAATCATTGTTCAAAATTTAAATTTGCCTATAAATTATTTTGTTGGAAAACTAATATTCAGGATATAAGGGTTTCATAAAAATACAAATTTAAAAAAACTAAACTTTTTCCTTTTTTTTTTTCTTATTTTTCTCATAACGTAAAGGGTCCCATTAGCGAAGCAAAATTGAGTACATATTGTCGAAGTCTGCAAGAAATTGGAAACAAGTCAGAGATGGTCTCGAGACAAAGAGCCGCGTCTGTGTACTCCACACGTACTCCAAACGGAAAACTAAAAGTGTATATTTACGGGAAAAGTATAAAGATAGATTCTCTTAATACATACAATTTTTGGCGATTAGCCAATTTTTCGTCGCATTTATATTGCATCAATTTGCCGCCGGTATCAAATTGAATTTGACGAAGCACGAGAGCTCGTACTTCGCCCAAATTCTACTACTTCTTCTATTTTTTTTCCTCTCCCAAAGATTATATGAATATTCGTAAAGATGTAGTGGAATGTTTTGATTGTGTCCGCTGGCATGCGAAATGAAAGAGCAAGCCGAGTCAATCGAAATTAGGACAATTTTTGTTTTATAAATATTTATTTTGTTTATCAGACTATTCTAAAAATAATGATTTGGTTTAATTTTTTATACCTACATATACGTCCGCAAATTATTGCAATTTATTATTTTTCAAATAAGGACTTCCAAAATGGTGCAGGTTGTGGCCCCAAAAAATTTTGAGATTTACCATATTTATTTTTGACAAATTTTTATTTTTGATTGTTCTATTTTAAAAAATCGAAATCGCGCTATAAAAAGAACAATGATTTTAGAAAATAATTCAAAATAAAAAGGAATTGCGTCAAGACGCGCGCAATTTTATTGCATGCGCCTTTGAAATTTAATTGCAACAAAAAATGACGATAATTAGGGATGTTAACTGAATTTTTCTACGACTTTAACTAAAAAAAAAAACACACACACATACACAACAAATAATATCATTTTTCAATTCGCCGAATAGGTCCATTAGAGTTTGAATAAAAACGCATTATGCTGGCGAATAATAACCAAGAATATCTGATTATAGATTCGGAGATTTTTCAGATACATATTTGAGTGTGTTCATCAGCCCAATAACATCCCTTATTTTTGTCTTTTCATTCCTTTCATTACAAATTTTATGAATGTGATGACCTTTTTCTAATCTAGACAGTGTCCTTTTGCACCAACCCATGTATGGGCATACATATATCAAATTCGAAAGTACACTACTACGGCTGGTTGTACGGCCGACGCCAATTTGTCATTCGCCAATTGTTCGCCATTTTTCACCTTCAAATAAGAGTTTGCCGAGATGAATGAGCCACGAGCAGTTGTAGCTATTTTGAGGTGTCCTGAGTACGAGGCTCTTTTGAAATGGGCTAAGCTTTTTATCAGAGATGTCGCGTTAACAGATTTCAATGCATGCGCCTTTAATATCGATTTTTGAAAATCTTAAAAAACTTGTTTTGAGCAATAAAATTAATTATAAAGCTGAAAAATAAACAAATTAGATCCATTTTAATTAAATAGAAAAAAACTGTGTGAAGGAAGAAGCTCTTTAATTAATCTTCAAATAAAAATCGAATTTCGCGAATTCATGTTTTTTTTTTCAAATTTTGCAAACGAATTAATTCTTTAAAAGCCTTGAAAAAATATTTTGAATTACGCTAATTAAAGGAGTAAATTGATCTAGTGGCCAGGTTTTTTCTATTCAAATTAGCACCCAATATAATTTTTCAAGGTTCTTGAAACGAAAACTGCGGGATTTTTTTCAAGTGGTTTTGGTCGAAATCGAGCAATAGAAGTGCGAATATTCTTTGAGAATGACCATCAAATTTTTGCTAATTCAAAATACAGAATAATTTATGATATTATTCCATAATTTGCGACGCCCAAAAACAAGTGTCGATACGAAAATGAAGTGAGTGATCCAATTGGGTGTCCCTCGAATTCGCCGACGGATTCCATTTGGATAAGCTCCTTAGAGTGCCATTCATCAGCGCCTACAGTAGTAGCCATTTATCTCGTCGTCACTCCTCGTTGACACTCGCCAATTTCCGAGTTATTCTTCTTCTTCTTCTTGGCCTTCTTAAAAACAAACATCCACCGAACGGAAATTACCCGTCAGCTTCTTTCGCTGCTGCTGTCCCGCTCATTTATTTATGAATGTGGTAAGTCTTACCGATTTTGGACTTTCGAGTGAAGTGGGTTGTCGACGGCCACCACAATAATCCACCAACCATCATTATATCTAATTACACTTAATCAATGGAGTTCGGTCTTCCCGCGATTTCTCGACTTTTCAATTCCCTTGACAACTTTTTTTTGTGGCTGCGAACAACTTGGCGAGTTCGTTTTTGGGCTCATCAAGTAGTAGTCGAGAGGGGCTGCTCTTTGACAACTCTTGCAAATTTCAATTTATTGCTCTCGACACTTCTCCATATTTAGTCTATTGAGGGATCGTCTCGCTCGTGGGCGGCCTTTTCAATCAACCTCGCCACAACAACTAATTTGCAAAATTTTTGGCGAGATTAAAAACTTGGAGCGTTAATTAATTTCTAGAAATGTCTGCAGCTGGAAATCATTATTTATTGCAGATATTTTCACATTGATCATACTGTTGAAGACATATGACTTTCGCGGGGAAAAATGAGAAACAAAAATCGCTTTTGGCCTCATTTCCAGAAACTTCAGTACTCATTAAAGGCGCATGCTAAAATATGCCAATTTCGCGGAAAATAAACAATATTGTATTTGTCTTTCATTTTTTTTAAATTTCCTACTGTCTTCACAATTCCAATAGATTTCGATACTCATTCGTCCAATTTTTCAAACTGTTAAATGTCCGCAGATGCAAATACCTATAAGTCGTTGCAAAAGAAATGCGAATTTAAATATCAAACCATTCAAAAGCTGTTTCTTCACAATATTCCCAAAATTAGTATTATTATCGATTCTATTGGCGATTCGTTTCCGATATTCAGTAAAATTCAAATTCAAAATAGTGAATTTTTTTTGCAAAAACCAATTTTCCGCTGATGCCATCTTCTATAATCTTTTCATTCGAGAAAATTGGCGATTTTAAAGCATACTTAGAATCGCAGATTTTAGGAAAAAAACTCAAAAAACTGGATCAGAATATTTTTTGGGAATAGCGCTTTTAAAGGATTATTTTTTTGAGTTTCTCCCAACTTCTGCATAGTTTCATAAAAAAAAGGGGTTCAAAACCCCCCGGAAACCTCTCAAATGTCCGCAGATGAGTTTGATGGACTCCAACGTCTCAAAATGAGAACAATTGCGTCTGACCAACGCGTGTAACTAATTCAGTCAACACTTCTCTTCTCAATTTGTTTCTTCGTGGTTTCCTTGTCTCTAATTGTTGCCTTCTTTTCATTTATTTTTCTCGTCTTGTCCAATGTTGCTTAAAATGCGACAGGTGTGTACGTGTTTTTATTGAAAACCAAAAAAAAACGGATTTTCGTTGTCAGAAAAAAAGCCATAAAAGATGGGAAACCATGAGCGAAAAAAACGGCGAATCGAAATAAAACGAACGAAAAAAATTTTGCGAGGTGGATTTAATGGCGAGATCATTCTGGATGGATTCGTTCCAGAAAGGAGAGAAAAAACGAAATAATTAAAACGCGCCAATTCAAATTGGATTTTCAATTCGCCGTCCACCACCAAATCCACCACAACGACCGATAGGCTTCTATATTCAATTTTCGGTGTCGAATTCCCATTGATTTCCGTCAAATCATGCATTTTTGGGATTCGATGTTCAAGAAGTTCGCCACCAGTCAAGAGTTTCGCGATGATTTGAGAGGTGCGGTTTTTCGAATGTGATTGAAATTAGCTGCGGACAAGTTTCGGGGTCAGCACCGCTAGAAGGAAACGACCTCTAAAATGTCCGCAGATCGAAAGAGGGCTTTTTTCAAACTCTAAAAACAAAATCTCAATGTTTCATCAGATTCATTATGCCAACTCCCATTTCACCGCATCCCAATTAAATTTAATAGGAGCATTTTCAATTTTTCTTTCTCCAATATTCGCCAAATGCCAAAATCTTTTCAATTTTCACAATAATAATCAAAACCGCAAAATTTCTCACCTGCATTCGTCATTCGGCTAATGTTAAATGCTTATTTCATATGATTAAATAGTCATGGTTTCGAACTCATGTCAATTTCGACAATTCTCGTTCATGGAATCATCAAATACTCTCGACGCTCCTCGCCTTTTTTTCTATTTCTCTTTCTCTGAATAATTTAGAAGGTTTTGAGAAAAAAAAAGTATGTTCCGGAATATTCAAAATCGAGGAAGTTCATCAATGTTACTTATTTTTAGCAATCATTTGATTCCATTTTTTTTTTGAATTTTTGCACGTGACTCAATTAGGTGAAAATAAATAAATAGTGAGATTCAGACGAAAATGTGGAGAGACGAAACTCAATTAGTTTAAGCTGAGCCATCTTCCGATCAAGCAGATTTGCTCGGCGCTCAATTTCTTCCTGTATGCTATGTGCACTTTCTATTTTTGGACTATAGTAGATCAAAATGGTCTCGTCGAGAATCTCAACTTTTCCGACGACCGGCTTCAAAAATATGCGCGCGTTGAGTCCAGCTTCAATCCGGCTCCGTCTGAGACTCCGCCCACTCGATAGTGGAAGCTGATGATGGCATTTTATTGCGATTTTTTCAACGCGTTGGTGTTCATTGAAATGAAATCAGCAAACCTTTATCACCTAGTAGGGCATTTTTTGATAATTTAATTGGCGTTTCGATTTGATACATAATTACGTGTTGCTCAAATATTTCCAGATCGGAAATGTACTTAAAATTCAAAAAATTAAGAATTAGATAAAAAGCAAATTCATAGAAAACTCGGTTTTTCTCAAATTCGGCCACATCGACGCGAATTGAAATATTCGGCCTTGGTCCGACGACGATCTGGCAAGCCTTCGAAACAACCAACCTTGTTCTATTCCTGTTGCTATATCTCTTTTTTCACTCCTAAATTCCTTCCAGCCCAGCGATGGAATCGAGAAACAATAATTCTCGGAACATCGCCAACCATTCGTGCATATCAAATGAAAAATTCTTGCCCCCCATTTTTCTTCCCACGCCTGTTTCAATTTGACACATCTCAATAATTTCGAACAATGAAAACTCGAATGAGAATGAGCATTGTGCAATTGACAGCGTTTGTGCAACACTCGAGCGCCCACCACATTGATTTCGAGCATTTCGGGTCGCCGCAATTTTTTGGTTTTGATTCCAGTTCGCTATCCGGACTGCGAGATGCTCAACAACAACAGCAACAACAACTCGATGAATGATGTGACGATCAGCTCAAACGAGACCGATGATTATTACATTCTCACCGAGGACGAGCAGCAGGCTGAGGTGCTTCGAATCAAGGTGAGCACTAGAATTTCAAGCTTAGGCAATTGCGCTCAGATTGAGGTCTGCATGTACATCGTCTGCTTCCTTATCGGGGGTCCTTTGAACATCCTCTCGCTAAAAAGGAGTCTACGAGCCTTCAGGTATTCATGCAATATTCAATTAGTTAATTAGCTTCATAGCTTTTAGGGCTCATAAAGCGAAGAGTCAAATCCTACTATTGCGAATCACCCTGAATATTGCCGATCTGATGACATTGTTCCTTTATGTGCCGAAGCAGATTATATGGCTAATCACTTATCAGGTAGAAATGAGAATTGATAGATATCAATTTTTTTTATATATTTAGTGGTACGGTGGCGAGATTCTATGCCGAATTTGCGCCTTCTTCTCAACTTTTTCATTTTATCTCAATTCATATGTTATCGCATGCATCGCAATCGATCGCGTTTACGGAGCCTACAATATTAGGTAGATTATAATTGGAAATTTGAAAAGCTTTTGGTGAATTTCAACATTTCAGCTCTTTAAACGCCCACCGAAAAGCTTATATTCGTTGCCGCAATCTGCTGGCGTTCGGCTGGATATGGTCGTTCGTTCTAGCTGTTCCGAATTTCGTCGTATTCCGCACCACTCTGCCATTCCCACATTTGAAGGATTATGAGCAGTGTGCGACAATTTTCATGATATTCGTGCATGATATGAGCAATGAGTACACGAATGATTCGACGACGGAAGCGCGCCGAATTGAGGTTTTTTCATTTTTTTTTGAATGCCCCGACATTGATGTCTGGTTTTAGATCGACAAGATGGCCGCCGACATGCGACTCTACGAGAGAGCCTATGCCGTTAGCCATTTTTTGTTCGTCTTCTGGATCCCGTGCACAATTATCATCTGCAGCTACATTGTTGTGTTGCTCATTCTACAAGGCCATCTGAAGCAAGGTATCGAATTACTCGATGAACAGCGTCCGGGTATGATTGGTTTCAGAGAAAGCGTCAAATTGTTGCTTTAAATTCAATACAAATAAATCTTGTATGTTAAGGAGCACAAGCAAAGAGTAAAGACTTTCCGGAGAAATGACGAACTGTAATTGAATTGCTTGCAGAAATATTGCCTTTGAGTATACCGAATCTCGTGGTTCGGTTCTTACGAAGAGCTCGCGGAGCAGCTCGACGAAATTCGGGGCGATGGCGGTCAGCACGATACACAAGGCGAAACAGCACGCGAAACGGCAGGCTGCAATGATAATCATCGCTTATTTGTGCATTTGGTCGCCTTATAATTTCTTTACTGTTTTGAATGTTCTTGGCGTACCCGTTATGGAGGAATTGCGAAACTTTTTGAGTTTTCTCAACGCTGGAATTTGCTTCAACACCATTGTTAACCCGATCATTTATGGCGTTTTCAGAAAACGCTGAATTTATTTTTTTGATTTACTCGTAGAGTTCGCATCATTTTTTTGTATGGGTCGTGCTTTCTTAAGTGATCTCAGTTTTATTTGGCAGTTTTTCGTATAAAGTCGTCATCATCATCATTACTCCTTATCAAATATTTTTGGGTTAATCTGTTAGTGATTAGTGCGTCGAACATTGGCCGTTGTATTGGTTTTAAAATACATAATAATGTTTTGACAATATTAATACGAATTTGCATCAATTTAATTATCGCTTCCTTTTTTTCAATTTTTTAATAGGTTTTTCAATTAGTTTCATGGACAGTTCTAAAGTAATAAGGTCCATATCAAGTTTTTGAATTTTTTAAGTTATTAAAACCGGAATTTTTGTGACGAAAACGCAAAAAAATGAGCAAGGTGACTCGAAAAATATTCGAACATTTTATATGGCCGCAAAATATACTCGTCCACGGCCGCCTTTTTTGTACTCCACACGGAGCTTTATTCATTTATTTTTTTCGTAATTGCAGGATTTTAGCAATTTTCACACGTTTTCAGCAGAATGACCGTTTCAGTGACAACATTCGTGCTTGTTGCATTGTTCGGTTCGAGCTCATGGATGGGAACAAACAGCGTTTGGGTCGAACTGCCGCTATTAACATCAGAGCTGCCGGAAGGCTGGAGTCTTCCAAGTTTTCTCGCCGCCGTTGTTCAGGTATCATATTTCAATTAAATTTAATAATTAAATGATTTACAGGTGGCTTGTATAGCACCCCTAGTGTATACAGTAGTTCATAAAGGTGTGAAATCGTTCACACTTCCCACAGCAAAGCTGATATTCATGTTTCTATCGTTAGCATGCATATGCCAACTTGGTAAGTGACTTATACAATTCATTTTTATATTAATAAAAGCTTTAAATTTTTAGGTATGTGTTTTTTTTGGAACAAACATGGTGACTTATTTGGCGCCGACCGCTCCTGGCCGCTCTATCTTCTACTTTTCGGGCTCGCCATTGTCAACGCAATTTCCAGTGTATTATTTATGCCATTCATGGCCCAATTTCATCCGGCTTACTTAAACGCTTATTTTGTTGGAATGGGTTTCAGCTCCTTAGTTCCTAGCATTCTATCGCTTATTCAAGGTACTAAACGCGTCAATCATTTAATTGCTCGCATTTTGTAGGCACTTCAAACTACGAATGTGACAAAAATGGCAATCCAAATTATTTTCCACCGCGATTCTCTGTATCGGTGTTCTTTTTCATTATTTTCGCGTTTACGTGTGTCGCGTTAATAGCGTTCACAATTTTGTACATAACTGGAGAGCATAGGCATTCGTAAATCGGACACGCTCAAATTGTGAAAAACTGCCTATAATTCAGATCATCAGGTGAGAAAAAAGCTCACGAAGGAACACCGCTGAAGATGTGCTCACAATCTCCATGTCCCTCGCCACCACCAGAAGAGGATAGTAATATTGAGATTCATGAAACAGGAGCGCCAGCTATTGATGGAATTGTCACTGAAATTGAGAGCTCACACGTTCATGTAAGTTGTCAAATAATTATTAAATTAAAAAGCGACTTCTTTTCAGAATATCGATAAAGCTAGCATTGACAGTGATCCCAATAGTGTTGATTATATCACCGGCGTGAAGTATGGGCTTCTACTGTTAGCAACAGCTCTTGTAAATGCTCAAATGAATGGTGTGATTCCTAGTATTCAAAGCTACGCATCACTTCCTTATTCTCAAGTATAAAAAAGAGAGATTTCCCATAAATTATGGTTATTTTCAGGCAACATATCATTATGGAATCGCGTTTTCCAATGTTGTCTCTCCAATAAGCTCATTCTTGCCATTTTTCATATCGATCAAGTAATTTTAAGATCATTCGATCAGAGTAATTCATTTATTCGCAGAAACTTACCGATTTTGGGAGTTCTTACGGTGTGCTCCTCGATCGTCACCGGATTCGTCGTGTTTCTGGCAGCGCTTTCACCAAATCTTATATTTAATTCAGTCACCTGGGGAAGTACGCTTTCGGTACGAAATATATATTTTTTAATTCCTAAATTCCACTTACTTTAGCATTTCTATTAATGTAACCTATTTAGATTGGAAGCTGCTTAATCGCCGCTGGACTCCATTCATATCTTCGCGTTGTATTCGCTTCAATCCTTCGTGAAGGCCACCAATCCGAATCGCGTTTGTTCTGGTGCGGCGTCTTCATTCAGGTTTTCACAAATTTCTTGAACGATGCCAATTTGAATTTCTAGATTGGCTCTTTCATCGGCTCCGCTGTGATGTTTCCACTGGTCAATGTGCTCAAATTATTCATCTCAGCACCACCTTGTCGATCAAATTAAAAGGATAAAACACACCAACTAATTATCAGGTCCACTTCTCACCTCTGCTCAAATCTGCTTTAATCTTAATGTCAGGTTTTAAAAGTCGTTTTGTGATTGATTTCCAGAGCTTGTCGTTTTGTTATTGTTGTTGGCCTCAATTTCATCAAACAATCATGCATATATTAATAAAATAATTTTTTTAAGTCGTCGTGTTTGGCGAATTTAAAAGTATGCGCGTTAGCAAGTTTTTGATATATAGAAATGTGTTGCGGTGAGACTACGTTATTGTTTCGTCGTAGCAACATTCAAGCGGTTGACATTAAGGAAAGCACGAGGAATTTGGATGAAATTCTGAACTTTGAATAGAAAAATTTCTTGTTCTTTGAAAAATATTTATGATGAGGTTGCCAAATTAGCAAAACAAACGAAATATTTTTTAGTGTAAAAATGTACAAGGCCGTCGCTTATTTACAAGAACAACGGTCTAGTTTCCTCCTATAATTGTTCAGGTTGAAAATCGTAAGATTTTTTGATTGTAATGAACAAGGTTGAGGAACAGCAAATTTGCAGAGTTTAGTTTAACGTTGCCACTTTAAACTGTCAGAATTTGCAGATTAGGTTTTTTTCTAGGCCATTTTCAAGAATTTTGAAATAATCTTTGGAATTTTTAGGAATTACGAGGGATGTACATCAAAACTTGCAAAAAACAACTTGTCAGGAGGCCTATCGCTGGCGATGTTTGAAGTCACCCCAAAAAAGGGTATTCGAAAATTGGTGAAAGCGACCACTTGACAAAGAAACCCACGCACGCAGATCCGGATTACATTCTACTTGTGCCTATTTGGCGTAACGGATCAATTTCAAATCATTTCTGCAGAAGCGGAATAAAAAAACTGGAAAATTTGATGTTATTTTTTCTTCGCGTCGAATATGCTTGGTCATTCATTTTTATCGGACACATGCCATCATTATTGCGCAAGATCGCATCGGCGACACCTTGCAAGCGGATAAAGAAAAACTTGGTATATCTGAAAAGAGATCATTGATTGGACTATTGCCGATTACACATACATATTTGGCTTCCCTGATAAGTGAAATTTGATGATGACACTATTAGTAAGTGTTGCGTAACAACTATGAGTTGGGATTTTTATTGTGGCAATTTGTGAACGTTTTATATCTTTCGAGATGGAAATTAAAAAATAAGAAAAATTCTGAATTCAAATTTTGACGATGCTCCAGTTTTACAATCACCCGCTGTTTATGTTAAATCTTAACTGTTTCTTTTCTCAGTTTTTTTTTTGTTTTCCTATTTTTGCTATTTATTTCATCTTTTTAGAGCTTTGAAAGAAGAAAATATTTACTCTATTTTATATTAAGATATTTATCTAACTAGCGGAGTTCAAACAGCTCAAGTATTAAGATATTGGTATGATCAACGGAATTCAAACAGCTCATTTTGGGCTTCACAAAAACCCGCGGCTAACAATGTATTACCAAAAAACCGAAATGCCGATTTCGAACACGACATATTCCACTCATAAACAATTCGTGATAGCAGAATAATGAATTTGTCGAAAAGTTGTTCAAAGTGCCCTTCTTCGAAAATTTGTCCAAGCCAACTTCATTTCAAATGTACAAAACCGATCGCTCATTCGCGTAACCGCATAATTGTATTTTCTGCTAGGCGTTTATATATTATATAGCATAATTACAACAATTATTCTTGATGCAACCTCAATCCGCTCGTTCTTTCGTTCGCCATGTAGGTCTCTGATTCCTTAAATTAATCACAAAAAAAGCGAAGTTTCAATATATGCATGTATATATGTAGTGTAATAATGTTCACTGGGAAACGTCATTAAAATAGTGCCGGGGGGAGAGCGCGAGATAAGATCGTGTAATCGTTCCAGATCCCATTGGAATGATGGTCGCTAATGGTCACCTACGCTCGGCAAATCATTTATCAAGAATAACGACCGAAAAATGAAGGCAATTAGGCTTATTTACATGGGTGGGAAGTATATGTATTTGAAATTTCGCCGTAAAGCATACGTGTGCAACAACAAAGAATGCCTTTGTTTCGGACCATTTATAGCCAGCCATTGGTTTGAACATAAAAATTAAAGCATCAATATTCAAGAACAAGTTTTGATCTATTTCTTGCTTGACCGGATTGCCGACTAAAAAATTAGATGAAAATTCAGATATCGACCCGCTGATTTATATTGTGCGCAATAATCCTATACAAAATCATTGCTCTGGAACGCTGGTCTTTGATATTTGAACCAGCCGACACAACCGACTTGGGCAATTTGTCTCGCTTAAAATTTTATAGAAATTTCGCAGACGTTCGCGGAATGAGACAATCGACCCGGGGGCGTCGAGTATAGTGTATTCCGTAGAACCTGTCTGAGAGGTGTAGATTTACGGAACCACTAGCAAATTGAATGGAAATGTTAATCGAAAACTACATATAATATGTAAATGTAAATTGTTGTGATTTTGGAAGTGTCGAAGAGAATTTATAGAAGTTTGAGAGAATCTTGACAGAAGCAAAATTGATATTTTTTTGCGAGAGGAGCTCTGTCGCGTCATTTACTAGAACTCCATTCTTTCGTAATTAGATTTGTTTAATCTCTTTCGTAGAAATTAAATATAACTTTCAGGTGGTGCTCAATACTGCCCAGGAACCAATGCCGCCATGCTTCCGCTTCTGTGAGATGATCATCGAGCGGACATTGTTTCAGCTTCCGTCGACCTTGCCGCATCCCGTTTAACCCGACACAATTACATCATTCAGTCGGAAACAATGCATTCGCTTCGTTTTTTGTTGGGTCTTGTTCACAACCGCATAAACCAACCGAAACATTGGGCACGGTGTAAATTTTTAAGGTAAGTCGAGTCGAGTCGACACACGCAGACAACGGGTTATCCGATTCGGGGCGCGCAATTGACCGTGCGGGCGGGGCCTACACCGCGAGAAAGTTGCCATTGGTCTTCGTATATAAAGCCTACCGGCATTTTCGTTTTAATCATTCACACTTTGCTTCCTTCGTCCGCCTTTTTTTGCGCACTTCCTCATTTTTTTTCAAACTCTGAATATTGATGCTTCAGATGAAGACCATCGTCCTCTTGACGCTCTTCGGCTGCTCGAACGCTTTCTTCTTCAACCTTCTCGGTCTCGGAGGAGGCGGTGGCGGCGGTTGCTGGTAAGATTGTTCTGGCGTTTGTTATTTGTTTCGAGATCGGAATGTTTTCAGCGCTCCACCACCACCAGCATGCGGTGGAGGATGTGGAGCTGCTGCTCCAGCTCCAGCCCCAGCCGCTGGTGGCTACGCTACTGCTCCGGCCGGTTATGCCGCCGCCCCAGCTCCAGCCTATGCTGCGCCAGCCCCAGCTTACGCGCCAGGACCAATCGCTGGAGGTGGTTATCAAGCGGCCCCAGCCATCGGAGGAGGTGGTTCGTACGCTAGCGGAGGAGCCGGTGGATTCGGAGGAGCCGGACAAGGAGGATATGCTGGAGCCGGTGGATTCGGAGGAGCCGGACAAGGAGGATATGCTGGAGCCGGAGGAATCGGAGGAGGACAAGGAGGATATGCCGGAGCCGGAGGAATCGGAGGAGGACAGGGAGGATATGCCGGAGCCGGAGGAATCGGAGGAGGACAAGGAGGATATGCTGGAGCCGGACAAGGTGGAGGACAGGGAGGATATGCCGGAGGCGCCGGTGGAGCTGGTGGATACGCTGGAGGTGCCGGAGGAGCCGGAGGATACGCCGGAGGTGCCGGAGGAGCCGGAGGAGCCGGAGGAGCCGGAGGAGCCGGAGGAGCCGGAGGAGCTGGAGGATACCAACAACAAGCGCCAGCCCAGGGAGGATATCAACAACAGGCTCCAGCTCAGGGAGGATTCCAAGCTGCCCCAGCCCCACAACAGGGAGGATATCAACAACCGGCTCCAGCTCAGGTCTCCACCTTCACCGAGCAAGCTGCTGCACCAGCCCCAGTTGCCAACTACGGAGAGCAAGCTCCAGTTCAAGAGCAGCAAGCGCCAGTCCAGGAGCAGGCTCCAGTCCAAGAGCAACAGCAGCAACAGACCTTCGAGTCGGCCCCAGCCGCTCAGGTAATTTCAAAAAGAAAAAGAAGAAATAAAATGAATTGCATTGGAAACGACATGTTTCAGGAATACGGATCCCAAACTTCGGAACAAGTCGTTGAGACTTCGGCTCCAGCCGCCGCTGGAGGATACCGCAAAGCGCTCAGAAAGGCCGCAAAGGCTTAAACGCCAAATTTCACACATTTCTGTATATTTCTTGTTGCCTTTTTTCGTCTTTCAACTCATTTGGATATTGAATACAGAATCAGACAAGCCTACCTACGACGTTGTTTTTAGTTGGTCCATAAAGCAAATTGAAAATCATTGTTTGTTGTTGAGATGAATTGAAATCACGCGAATCAGTGATCATACCGAACTTTAATTACAGAAAAAATGATGTTTTCATAGATGCGGTAAGTTACGATAACAACTCGCCACGAGACCCAAAGCAAAGAACTGCGCGCACCTTTAATCATTACCGTATTTTTTCGGAAATAAAAAAGTGTGTCTTAGATTCAATTCATTCTTTCTCAGAAACGTGTTTTTGTTGAATTTTGTGAATTTTTCTGTAATCCCTTGATGAAATTAAAAAGAAAAAACTAGGCAGGTGATATAAATGGGTATTAAGTTTTTTTCATAAGAGAACCACAATTAGCATACATATTTTCACATGCTCCTTCAATGCATACTGTAGGTTCCAGTGTATTTCGTACTGAAATTTAAAAAGGTGAGATAAGATTTTTAAATTTGTTTTTGAATTTTAGAAAACTGCTTCAGTTAATTTATGTTTCCACAATAAATTCGACTATTGGCCAACAAACCAATCCAATTGGAATAGAAAACACATATAAATGAGCCAAGTCCGATCTGAAAATCTGAAAATTATTTTCCCGGATGCGTTTTTAGTCCTATTGACGACGTCGTGCGAAAAAAATGAGTGATAGTTTTTGTGCATTGGTGTCGGCCTTTAAATTATTTTTGTGTTTTTTATAATCGGCGTCCGGCGACTGATGTAGATTTACGGGGATGCTCCTTTCTCTTGGTCTCGCACGGACTAACAACTCATCTCAAATTGTCTGGACCGGTTTGATAATTTTTAAATCGAACAACATTAGAAATTTCAAAAAAATGCCAAACTCATCAAGTAAAAACAGCAAAATAAGCGTTGACGCGTGGCGAGACCGTTTCAAGGCGCATGCGCGTAAATCTACTATCTACACTTTTAGCTACTTTCCATACATTTTTTAGATTTTTAATAACTTCGGAAATATTAATTTCTTTAAAAAATTTCCTAATTTCCCATTTTTCGTTAAAAAAGTTTTTTTTTTAAGTTTAATAAAAAGGGTCCGGACCTCTCCCACCTTTCTCTTATGCGCACGCGAATTCTCACATAGATTGAATTGAAATTTAAATTGCCGCGTCATTATTTTAATGGAAATAATTAAACGGGTTATACTGTGAAATTTCAAATTTTTTTCTCTAACATGGATTTGACTAGTAGGTACGTTTTATGAATGTTTACGTAACTATCTGGGATCGACAATTATCTGGAATTTTCAGAAAATAATCTTAACACTAACAGGTCAAAATTTATTAAAATATTTAAAATTAAAATTCTCAAAATTATTTTTCATACTTTCTTGAATTAAAACGAACAATCTAATTATTGGGAATCATTTCTAAGTTGCCTTTTTTTAAATTACTGATTTTGTGCAAAGATTATTAAAATTGCAGGGTCATACATTCCACCAGATGCACTGAATTGCTGGATGAGAAGAGGATCATCAGAAGAAGTGCCTCAGAAAGTAACGGACCCCAAAGACATCATAATTTCACATTTTTTTTGCCGATAAACAATTGCAACGAATCAGAGCTGCGCAAATGAGGGCGGAATCGAAATTGAGTTAATTCAAATTAGCATAGCAAGTCTTTTTTAGGCGTTGGTTTGCCCAAGGCGAACTCAAATACGATAAGAAGAGAAACCTTGATCTGTGTTTGGAATGACGGCAATTATTACTGCGGCCTCATCGTTCGTTTTTTTTTCGGCATGGTTCGTTTTTTGGCAGCGCAAAAAGAACAGAATCACACATATATTACACATGTGAAGTGAAGAAGCTTGCCATTCCACTCGTCGTAAGGTTGTTTTCATTTTTTTTTCTTGCGTTCGCTCTCTTTCTCTTTGATTTGCCATTAGTCCTATCAAATCCACGCATCAGCTTTTTAAGGACTGAAAAGGAGTGGATAGCGACGCAAAATGTCTGCGACCTCTGGAAGCAGTTGATACGAACACGATGAAAAAGTTGCCGTCGCCACCGCTATAAAAGTTGGCCGATTCGGGCGTCGTGTACACATTCCTCGTCGCATTCGGTTCTTTTCTACCTATTTGCATCTCGCATTTTCATTTATTTTGACGAATTGTGTTGAATTTTAGATGAAGGCTGTCGTCCTTCTCGCCCTTTTTGGCTGCACGAACGCTTTGTTTAACCTCCTCGGACTCGGTGGAGGCGGTGGCGGCGGTGGCTGCTGGTAGGATTGCGCTGCAATTTTCAATTATTTACAATTATATTTATAACGTTTACAGTGCTCCACCTCCGCCAGCATGCGGAGGAGGATGCGGAGGCGGTGCTGCTCCAGCTCCAGCTCCAGCCGCTGGAGGCTACGCCACCGCACCAGCAGGATATGCTGCTGCACCACCTCCACCGCCGCCGCCGCCACCACCGCCACCGCCTCCGCCACCAGCACCGATTGGTGGTGGTTACGCTGGAGCTGGTGGAGCCGGTGGAGGCGGATATGCCGGAGCTGGAGGAGCGGGAGGTGGCGTCTACGCCGGAGCTGGACAAGGTGGACTCGGTGGCGGCAGCTATGCGGGAGGAGCCGGGGGAGGCGGCGGTGGCTACGCAGGAGCTGGAGGAGGCGGAGGCGGTAGCTATGCGGGAGGAGCTGGAGGAGCAGGAGGCGGTGCCGGAGGATACGCTGGAGGAGCAGGAGGCGGTGCCGGAGGATACGCTGGAGGAGCAGGAGGCGGTGCCGGAGGATACGCTGGAGGAGCTGGAGGAGGCAGCGGCGGATACGCTGGAGGAGCTGGAGGAGTTGGAGGAGCTGGATACGCCGGTGGAGCCCAGGGAGGATCCGGAGGAGCCCAAGGAGGATACAGCGGAGGTGCTCAGGGAGGAGCCGGAGGATACAGCGGAGGTGCTCAGGGAGGAGCCGGAGGATATGGAGGAGCTCAAGGAGGAGGCGGCGGTGGCGGCTATCAAGAGCAGCAAGCAGCTGTCGCTCCAGTCGAGCAAGCCCCAGCCCCAGCTCCAGTTCAAGAGCAGACCTTCAGCGCTCCAGCGCAAGCGCCGGCTACTCAGGTATGATATCTCTAATATGGATAATTGAGCTGCTTCAATTGAATCCTTCAGGATTACGCTCCACAACCACCACAACAAGCCGCCAATGCGCCATCAAGCGGAGGATACCGTAAAAAGTTCGCGACCGCTTAGATTCGCAATTTTTCTTCAATTGACCGCTTATTTGTATATTGCCAATAAAACATTTGGATTTTCAATTGCAACAGCCAATCTCAACAAAAAAAACTTGTTGCGAACCATTGATCAAGTGCTACTGCTGCCACTACAGCATAATTGAACTTATGATACAATAAGCTGCGCAGAAGGTCAATCGGTCATACTATATACAAGCATATGCATAAGTGTGTTTTAAGAATTCGATATTGATTCATTATTTTAATATTCTGGATCCTAAATAGAAAATCACAAAAATCATGAAAGTCAGTTGCGACCGGCGGGAATTTGAATTAAATGGCAGTTTTTTTAATTATCGATTTGATTATAACACCCGTCAATTTTTTAGTTTTTCTTATGGACCTACATATTTAAATCAATAAAAGAATGTAAAAATTATACATCATTTTTTTTCTTCAGGGATCTTAGAATGCATATATTTACTGCAATATTTAACATTTTCTTTGTAAAAAAATTTGAATCTACTTTGATTTTTTAATAATTTAAAAATCACTAGAACAATTCATTGAAGAATAAAAATAATTTTGAGTTAATCGAACAAAATAAAATTAAAACGCTCGTAGAGTTTTTAATTTTCAAAAACATTTGTAATCAGTTAGGCTTACGCTTCTGGTATTTGATATGTACCTTTAAATATGCGCAAGATGAATTTCGGAATTTTCAATTTTTTAGAGCTTGTATAACATAGAATTTTAAATTTGCACTGTCTCAAATTATTTCAAATACATCCAGTTGAGACCCATTTAAAGACGCATGTTCTGATAATACTCGATGTTTGATGTAGAACTTTGATACTTTCGGAGAAGCAAACTCATTCAATTAATCATACGCTTTTATTGGTTCAGCTAATTATCACTGTAAAATTTTGAGGCGACCTTTAAATTTTGGCCTCACATGTCGTTGCCTTCCAAGCAATTTAATTACATTTATTTCACACATGCCGTGGAATTTTGAAAACCCGATTCGCGAAATTGATATTGCATAATATTGCATTCCATTTTTGGTATGCCTTTCCCCCCACGAAACCACAACAATCATCTTAAACTGGAGGTCGTTTGTTGATGGGCGCGCGGCGGCGCAACTAAGTTTTGAAAATAATAGTCGTTGAGGGAGAAGGAATGATTCCTAAATTACAGGTCTCAAAGCTCCACCTCCAAATGTAGAAGAGATGGAGTTTTGTATAAATAGGCGTTGGTGTTCACGGGAAGAATCATCATTCGGTTCGAATCAATCAATCAAACCAACAATGAAGGTGTTCGTCCTCTTGGCTCTCATTGCTATCGCTCAATGGTAAGGAATCGGAATCTGATGATGGTAAATGGCGAATTCATACAGCGGATATCCAACGGCTCAGAACAGCTACCCAACTCCGCCACCGCAAAACGCGTACCCGGTGGCTCCAAGCTATCCAACCAAACCTTCATATGCTGCTCCACCACCACCACCAGCTGACAGCTACATCCAGAAGCCGAGCTATGATGTCGCCGCTTCTCCGACCCTAGCTCCAGTGGCCCCACCAGCACCATCTTATGGAGTTTGATTTTCCATAGAGAGAATAGTTTAATGATTAAAAAAAAAATTCCAGAGCGCTCCAAGCTACTCTTCATCGGCTTCTTCTCCATATGGAGCTGGATCGGATACGGTGGCTATTCGAAAAATAGTAAAATTTCAATAATGAATTTCAGAGTTCATTCGCAACTTCTGCTTCCTCGTCTTCCTCCAACTATAATGTGCAAAGCGTATGTCGAGTAGCGTATTCACAGCTGGAATATGTATTTTCAGACTGGAACTATTGCTGGTGGAGCCCCATTGAACTACAACACCGCTCCATCTTGTAAAACAAATTCATAGAATCGTAAAAATTCAGCAATTCGTTGAGTTACAGATAGAAGAAGAGCCCGAGCTCGCACCGCCGTCAACCGCAAATTCCACCGTCATGCGCTTCGCCCAATCCGCCGCATGATGCACAGAAAGGCGAGACACTAAATCGATGCTCTCTCCCGAATTGCTATCGTGTCTTGAACACTGCCAATATATAAATTTTATAAATTTCTATTCTAATCTCGCTTCGTTTTTTCTTTCAAATAAAGATTGATTTCATTTTCGGATTTTCGTGAAAAGGGAAAAGGGAAAAAATTCTTCGATAATCGAGACAAGACGTAAAAGGAGCATTTTTTAAGCATAAAATTGGGTCTATGAAATGCAGCTAAAATGGCCATACATAACATTAATATTTTATTCATCAAAAATAGAAATCTTTTAGATAATAAAGATAGCTTCAATATGCATTAATTGAAAAGTCAAAGGAAAAATGGACCATCAGAATGCTAGGAGGCAAAAAAAAATGTATATTGCTAATTTTAATAGTATATATATTCTTTTTTTTAATTCGGAGAAAAGATAAATCGGTGAATAGACTTATAAAAAATGAGTAATGTAATGCGTAATAAATATTTTGTGCGAGTTTTCCAGCATTAATTTTGCAATTTAGTTGAAATCAATATGTCTCTGCATATTATTAAAAACATTCATGATTAAAAATTATTTTTGACTTCAAAATATTGCCTCAAAATATTTTTGGCGTCAAACGACTGAACAAAATTAAAAAAATTAGCTATGTGCCAATGCGTCTCGAGGCAGCGAGAAGTACGCCAGATTGCGTACATTGCATTATAGTGTACGCGCATTTAATATTCAGTCAACAAAATATTTAAATCTACATCGATTTCGAGAATTTGAAGCCTCAATAATATGTATTTTTAATTCTCAATATTTTTCAAACAAATTGAAATAAAATATTAATACAATTCAATTTTAAAAGAAAACAGAATTGATAATTAATGATAAAGAATTTTAAAAAAATTGTATAGTCGGCGTCCGGCGACTGCTGTACGCCGGTAGATTTACTGGGATGCGTCTTTCTCTTGGTCTCGCACGGACTAACAGATTATTTGGCATTTTATCGACCGATTCGATAATTTTTTGATCGAATATTGTTGGAAATTCAAGGAAATGCGAAACTCATCAAGAAAAATGAAGCAGTTCACGTGAAAACAGCAAAATAAGCATTCACGCGTGGCGAGACCTTTTCAAGGAGCATGCGCGTAAATCTACCCGCGTACAACAGTCGCCGGACGCCGACTATAAACTAAAAATTGTTCAAATTGGTTATAATATTGTGAATAATTCAGAAGAATAGTTTTTTTTTCTTTTTGCTGCATTTCCCTGATAATTTTTCAGCTATTATTAGGCTATACATAAATAATATACAATATTACATCTTGTAAGTGTTAAATGAAAAATAGATTCAAGAAGAATTACCGTTTTTGGCTGTAGACTCTATAATCTATCATTAGAAGATGTACGTATGTATATTGAGATTTGCATGGGATTATTTCTAATCCATTAAGTTTTTTTGATCAGTAAGCGCTAAGGCCTAGTTTTCCAAAATCAAACGGGAGTTTCGCGTTTAGATTTTTGAACATTTCTCTTTTGAAATTCACAAAAAGCAATTAGTTCTACCTCTGTTAGCATCGCCATCTACAGACGGCCAAGAAACACTAGTTTACTGAAGATTGTTTCTCGAATTACCGGTCTCAAAGCTCCACCTCCAAATGTAGACGAGATAGAGTTTGTATAAATAGACGTTGGTGTTCACGGCAAGAATCATCATTCGGTTCGAATCAATCAATCAAACCAACAATGAAGGTGTTCGTCCTCTTGGCTCTCATTGCTATCGCTCAATGGTAAGGAATCGGAATCTGATGGTGGTAAATGGCGAATTCATACAGCGGATATCCAACGGCTCAGAACAGCTACCCAACTCCGCCACCGCAAAACGCGTACCCGGTGGCTCCAAGCTATCCAACCAAACCTTCATATGCTGCTCCACCACCACCACCAGCTGACAGCTACATCCAGAAGCCGAGCTATGATGTCGCCGCTTCTCCAAGCTACTCCGCCTCGGATAACACGGTGTCGACTGATTCGGACTCGGTATAACAATTGGAAATGCTAAAAAAATATATTAAAAAAAATAATATTCAGGATACCTACTCTTCTGATTCAAGATGAGCCAAGGCTCGCGGAGCTCACAACCGCAAGTTCAAGCCGCGTCGAGCCCTTCGTCCAATCCGTCGCATGCACAAGAAGGCTAGGCAATAATTCGAATTCGTTTTTGTATTCCATAACCCAATTAATTACACTGCCCCCTCCCCATATTCAATAATGGCATCCTCATTTGGTGCAACTTCATCATCGTTATCAAGGCAGCCATAGGTTCCTCGTTATCACAAATTTGCAGCCTTATCATCTTTTTTTGACACCAATTAATTGCAGTTTGAAAATAATTCGTAAAATAATAAAAGTTGTACAAACGGACAACTTCTCGCACGATCATGAGCTTCAATCCAGAGTCCTCGGTTGGCCTTTGTAACCGAGGGACCCCATATTTGCATACATCCTTGTGATTATTAATCCCAAATCCAAGAAGCTTTTTTTAAATAAAGAAACCAACTAAAAAAAATGAAAACCGGACCATCTTATGTTGAAAGGAAAATTGGCGCAGATTCCCGGTATGTGCCTAATGAGATACACAGAAATTAGAGTGTCTTCGTCCAGCAAAAATGTCCGCAGACGTTTAACCCCCATTTGCCATTGACTATAACTGCGCAATGATCCAAGCAAAATCAGAAGGAAGACATTTATTAATCGATTGCACGACTCGTGAGCTGGGTTTTGATAGCACATAATAATATTAAAGGGGTTGTCATGGCGTATTGTTAACTACGCTTATTTATGAGGATTGTTTGAAGGCGAAACATGTCGTTCCGTTTTGTTCCGTCTCGCAGTATAACTCGGTGTTGACAATGTAGGAGAACGTGCTGCGAGAACAGATAACATCAACCCTGCAAGCATTGGTTTTCAGTGCCTCGATAGCTCAGTTGGGAGAGCGTTAGACTGAAGATCTAAAGGTCACCAGTTCGATCCTGGTTCGGGGCAATTGCTTTTTTGTCAATGTTGTGAATACTTTGCAACTCACCTTCCGCCGATGGCATCAGCGGCAGCCGCTTGAATTTTTCTCTTGGATTCGGCGGTATTCTCGCTAATGTTTTGCAGGATGATCGTCTTCAAATCTTCGGAATTGCACTTTGGATCGAATACGGCTTCATCGTCGCGCTTCACACGACGATATCCTTCGGATTGATCAACACCGGTGTCTTCTGAAGGAATGATTCAAAGACAATCAATCGAATTTCGATACCATGATCAACATTTCGCTTCACTGGGGCGGCATAACCTCCTCCACCAATAGGTTGAGCCTGTGGCGCATAAACTTGTGGAGCGGCATACGAGGATCCATAGCTAACCGCTGGAGCTGGAGCCGAATAGCTTGGAACAGCAACTGGTCCTTGAGAATAAGTCGGAGCATAGGCCGGAGCTGGAGCATAGGCGATCGGAGCTGGCGCAGCCGCGTAGCCACCACCTCCGCCGCACGGCGCTGGTGGCGGTGGTGGAGGGCAAGCTGGCGGCGCCGAACATCCGCAAGAAGAACCGCCGCCGAAGAAGAAAGCCTGAACCCAAGTGGAGACTAGTAAATGATAACGATTTTTGTTGTTAACAAGAACAGGATTCGATCAGCAATTGTCCGCAGATGGATATTTTTATTTTCTTGCAGTTTTCTAATACCAACCGATTTGAATAATGAATTACTCGGTGGTTGTCAGTAGTGAATTGCGATAATGTGTTGAATTGAAAATTGAAAAAAAATGTTCAAAATTACCTGCGAGCTCGTTGCCGACAAGGCGAGAACCACAGCGGTGACGGCGAACATGTTGTATTATTCAAAATGAGGTGCGGGCTTTGTCGAATTTATAGGCGCTGAGGTGAATATCGGGTATCAAGTCGTTTTTTATTCCTTATTCGGCTTCTCCTTCGACGCGAAACGCCCAGCCTCTCTCTCTCTCTCTTTCTCGGATGTTTCGCGCGAGGTGTTGGGAACCCGTTTTGGGTATGCCAAAATCCACCACCCACACCAACACCGCCAACATTTCTCGCTCGTGGGAAAATGATGAAAGGAGAGACACGATAAATGACCTGCGCCAATAAGAACTAATTGGCAACGCGCGTCTCAGCATAAAAACCTTGTCCAATTTGATTCCCCAGCTTTTCATTTAATAAATTTCTTCTTCTCCTTATTTTTTTTCGCCCCTCTTCGTTGCCCAATTATCGAGGATATCATTCGAACAACACAAATCCAGTTAGTTATGACACGATGAGTATTTTCCATTTTCGGCAATTATCTTGATTTCGAAACTGTGTCTATGAATGCCACCTTGGCTGCCTGACGATTCCCGTTTTTGTTGATTCGATTCGAGTCGTTTCAAAAATGCTTACGCAATCCGAGACCGGTCGTTTCTGTTTCGTCAATAGCCAATTTTTTTTGGCGTGATTTCAGTGAGGAAATGAAACCTGCGGGATGGCGGGAAGAGATTCAAAAACGTGCGAAACGTCTCATTGAAATCGAACAAAAATTGAATGATCTGTGGATAGCAAAATGGTCCGCGCGCGGCAAGCATTTTTCTCGGCTCATGATCGAGCCAGTGGGTCCCTATTTTATATTGGTACTATGCCGATTTCCTAAAAGAAAACTCAAAAATCCTCATAGAGCAATGCAGAAAAATTCTTCTAACAAAGGAGGTCGAAATTTTCTCAAAATTAGCTAATGCATTTAGAAAAATATTTTTTTAATACATATTTGATGAAATTTCCTGATTTTTGCAGCAATAAAAACTGTTATGGTAAATAATTGAAAAATGTAGGTTTCGAAAAACCTGGTTGTAGTTGATGTTTTTCTGAGGCCTGAATGGTGATTATAAAGGTTATGCCAAATCTGATTTTCATTGTAAACATCTGCGGACCTTTTCTTTTGTTTTCTTCGAAGTTTCTTTCATAAAATTGAAGACCCGCTTTCTTTTAGATTTTCAAATCAAAAAAAAAAGCAATCAATAAGTTGATTTTCATACTTTTTTTAGGCAGAACGGAAGTTTCAAAAATCAAATTAAGCAGGCCTCGAATTTGACATGCCTAGATGAGGTCAATTCAAACAACGGACCTACAGAGCTGATGGGTCCTGTTATTTTTTCATTGCCATGCTTCGGATAATTTTATTATAGGCCTGACAAAATAGAATGGTTTCTTTCTGAACTGCGCGCTAAAATATTTTTTTTAATGTGTTCAATTTTGGGTGCGCGTGTATGAACCAAAAATACCCTAAAACGATTTTTCTGAATAAATAGATTATATCGATTTCCTAGACTTCGCGTTGAGACCCTCCCCCCTCTGTTAAAAATATAGCACATATTTTAACCTCTTCCGCAACGCAAAAACAACTCGCCTTCTTGCTTTTGCTTTTTCTTGACTTTTTTTTTCTTTTCTTTTGCGCAGTCACAGCTCGATTACGTTAGCTCACCTTTTTAACATTTTTCATCTCGCTAACAGAGGGGTTAAAATGATGATATTTTAGTCTGATTAATCCCGGCTGCAAATACACGTGGCTTGACGAGAAAGGGCATTGGCCCAATTTTCTACAATCTCAAATTATTCCTGACATTCATGATTGGAATGAAAAAATGTTTCGTTATATCAAAAATCCCCCTCCTATTGTACTTTGTACTCAATTTTGTTATCAAAACGATTGGGCGAATCGTATTAATAAATTTTCGAGCGCGGGTTTCTCATGACATTCCATCTCGATCCAATTCCATTTCGCAGTAAAACAACACAAATGTAAACAAAGCGACGAGTGCCCATTTTATGATACATACTGTCCGCCGACTTTATTGCAACGCAAGAAAAAAAAGAAGAAAAAAAAAAAAAAAAGAAAAAGAAAAAGAAGAATTAAATGATTTATTGTCAATTAATGTGCCAAATTTCTATTAGGCTGAAAACCGTAAAAACTTTGGCATGGCTTGCATTGTTTTTCAGATTGAATTCCGCAAAAAAAGTTGGCTTCATTTTTTTTTAAAGATACCACCACAACTCGAATTGAAGCCAAACCAGACTCACCATATTTTTTTTCTAAATATATTTTTTCTTTTAAAGGCCATTTATCATGATTTAAGTGCATTTGAGGCTTTAAAAATCTGAAAAATTGAAATAATTGCGCGTAACGCAAATGTCACGGAAAAAAAACCCAAAGAACCATCTCATTTGAACAATTTTCTTTCACAGCAAATTCGAAAATGTTTTAAAATTATTTAAATATCATTTGACACTACAATTGAGCCCATAAGACGTTTTATGGACTTATACAGACAATGGAAAAAAAAACATAAAAATTTTCCCAGTGCTGGAATATGAAAATCCACATTCAATGTAATTTTTAAAATTCTTTTTTTTTTGTCAAAAAAGTGCATTAAGTTCATTAATCAAGTTTTTATGGGGTTAACGGTATTAAATAAAATCCACAGGCATATAGTCGACGAGGAAGTTCTCATTTAGATCTATTTTTAGACTTGCCTGCTGCCTTCTGCCTACTGCAATATTATTATCACAACTCGTCGACGTTTCCATTGAACCCTTCAATTATGAATGTCTCTCTCATTCTCTCTCTCTCGCTCACGGAAATTGGGTATTTATGAAACAAGTAATTGTTAGTTGGCAATGGGTGAAGCGAATTGGTTTCGGCGCAGAGTTCGATGGGACAATCATTTCAGGTGTCGGATGGTCCCCAAATTTCAGCCATGGAGACAAGTGAATGAAGCTTCTGATGCCTCTCATCAAATTTCGAGTTTTTCGGAAATCACTTTGATAATTGCCAAGGTCATCTTTATTTTCTGCTATTACCTTATCTTCAACATTTTTTGGCGAATGATAAAATTCATTGGGTATTAGCGAGTGCAAATTGGAGACTGTAGAGTGAATCGCATTTTTCATTGATACGCTATCACTTACAATTTCAGCGGAGAATTTATAGTAAATGTCAAAAAAAAAAAACAAAAATGTGGGCAATTTTGAAAGCGGATTTTACCGGCACTTTTTTTGCGGTGGAGCATCCTTTCTCATGTACATTGCCATTTAGAGAATCTGCTAGGATTATTCTAAATCTACTTCAAATAATTCTCAAGATTAAGATGTTTATTGCAACTCTCGGCTACACTTTAGTTTTTTATTTTTGGAAAAAATTGCGTCTCTTATATTTTCCATCCAATAATATTGGACCACTTCAACGATCTACCCATTTTTTTCAGACAAAAAAATGTCTGAATTCAATTTGGGATTGGGTTGCTTAGAACCCTTTGTTTTGTCGAAGAATCGCAAAAACTTGAAGCGCCATAAATCGTGCCAATTTCGGCTATAACTCATTCATGATGCCTCGCAGCTAATTTCAACATTTTTCGAAATTACGTTTGTTTCGCTTTTTTCTTTTAAATTTAAATTCAAATTTTTGTCAATTGTGGAAAATTGGCACAAAAATGAGACAGTTCTTGTGTGCGCCTTTAATCAATCCATTTGGCCAAATTTTCTCCAAGACCTATAAAAAACTACAAAAATATGTATGTACAGTACCGCTCAAAAGTCTATCAACCTTTGGTTTTTTGAGGATAACTTTTTTTAAAGATGCGGTATCGATCCAAAATTTTTCCCATTATTTTTTGGAGTGGTTTAACGTGTTTTGGCCAGCTGATTTGACACCTGCTTAATTAAAAAAAATTTTTTTGAAAAAAAAATAGAATTTTCGAAAAGTACCGATTTTTTGGGGTTTTCAATAAACAGTTTTGGTTTAACAAAAAACAAAGTTTATTAACAAAAAACAGTAACAAACATAATTTAAAGCTCAATATCGAGTCGCAAAGCCCTTAGCTTCAATGACTGCTTGACATCTTCTCGACATGGAGTCGATCAAAGTATCGATGGTCGACATGGGGATCTTATTCCATTCAGACTGCAGTTGAGCAAACTTCTCATTGCAATTTTTGGCTCTTTTGTTGGCACAACGTCTTTCCAACTCTTCCCATAGATGTTCAATTGGGTTTAAGTCAGGAGACTGACTCGGCCACTCGATGACGTTGACCCGACGGCTTGCGAACCAATCCTGAAATTCATTGTGATGCTGTTTACTTATCAATTTTCTCACCTTAACAAACAAAGAAGTGTGTTTTGGGTCATTGTCTTGTTGGAAAACACTTCCACGACCCATTCTCTTCAAGTGCGGAAGCATCTGATTCTGGAGAATGTCTTTGTAGACATTCTTGTCCATGATCCCATTCACGCGATGAAGCGGTCCAATACCATTTCCAGAGAACGCACCCCATACCATACACGAACCACCGCCATGCTTCACAGTGGGTAATTGATACTTAGGATCATACCTGGACCAAATTGGTCTACGAATCCACTGAATTCCATCACTTCCGAAAAGCAGAAACTTGCTTTCGTCGGACCACAAAATCTTATCCCAGTCTTGTCTTGTCCAGTCGACGTGTTCCTTTGCCCACTTCACTCTGGCCATTCTATTCTTCTCAGAAATTAAGGGTTTTTTCACTGGACGTCTTCCCATAATCCCAGCAGCACAGAGACGACGTTTCACAGTCGAAACGGATGGTGGAGAAGGAGAATTCACGAAAACTTCCCGTCTGATTGCAGGGGCAGGGAGTCTAGGATTGTTTCTGGACGTCCGCAAAATATTTCTATCTTCACTACGAGTAATTCGTGGTCTCCCGAGCGATGAGGCACAGAAAAATTTTTTTGAACTTCCCAGCGTTTACAGAGTTTGGAAATACATCCTTTCGTTCGATTGAACATTCCGGCAAGCGTTTTCAAAGTAAGTCC